TTATTGTTGTTGTTATGTGCCATCGAGTCACCTGGGACTCACAGCAATTCAATGTGTAATAGCTCTAAATCCTGCTCTATCCTTTGCCAAACTTATTATCTCTTACACACCTACCACCGTTACCCCGTCACTGAATCAATCCATCTCATCAAGGGTCTTCCTCTCTTGCACTGTCCCTCCACACTCCCAGCATGGCGTCCCTCTCCAAGGATCGGTTCCTCCTAGCAACATATGCAAAGTTTGTCAGATGAAGTGTCAGAATCCTTGCCTCCAAGGAGCAGCCTGGTTTTACCCTCTCTAGGACAAACCTGTTTATTCTTTTCGCAGACCATGGTATATTCAAAACTCTTCTCCAGCACCACAGCTCAAAGAAGTCAATTCTATCATCCCTAGTTATTATCCATTTTTCTGATACATAGCAAGTAATTGCAAAGACCATGGCCTAGATATGGTGCACCTCAGTTTCTGGACTGACATCATTGCTCTTCAGTACTTTGGAGAGGTCTTGGAAAGCAGACTTTCCAAATACAATTCCTCTTTTCATTTCCTGGCTGTTGGTTACCAAGAGTGTTGATTGTGGAGCCAAGTAAACTAAAGCTGTTTCAATCTCAATCATGATGTTATCAGTCGGCCCAGTCATGAGCATCTTTGTTTTATTGATGTTGAGCTTCAATCTGTATTAAAGGCTGCGGTCCTTGTTCTTCTGCAGCAAGTACTTCAGGTCCTCCTCATTTTCAGCGAATAGGGTTGTATCGCCTGCATTGACACAGATTGTTGATGAGTCTTCCACTAATCCTGATGCAACTCCTCTCATAGAGTCTAGCCTCCCAGATAATCTGTTCTGCATACAGATTGAAAAGGTATGGAGACAGGACACATCCCTGATGTACACCCCCAATTTTGAACTGTGCAGTATTTCCCTGCTCTGTTCTGATGACTGTTCTGGTCCAAATAAGTTGTTGTTGTTGTTATGTGCCGTCGAGTTGCTTGCGACTCATAGCTACCCTGTGTACAATAGCCCTAAACTCTGCTCTGTCCTGTGCCAATCGCACCGTCTCCGATACACAAGAAGACAAAGATTCTCACCACTGGGCCATTGGCAGGATCAGGATAGATGGTGAAGAGATTGAGATTGTTCACAGCTTTAGTTTGCTTGGCTATCAGTAAACACTCTAGGCACCAGTAGCCAGGAAATAAAAAGACGTATTTCGATGGGAAAGTCTGCTGTTAGGGACCTCTCCAAAGTACTGAAGAGCAATGGTGTCTCTCTAGAGACTAAGTTGTGTCTGATCCAGTGCATGGTCTTTGCAATCACTTGTTATGCGTCAGAGAGTTGGACAATGACTAAGGAGGATAGAAGGAGAATTGATGCCTTTGAGCTATAGTGCTAGAGAAGAGTAATGAGGGTACCATGGACTGCTCATCCTGGAAAGGGTTAAACCGGGTGGCTCCTTAGAGGCAAGGATTCTGAGGCTTCATCTAACATACTTTGGACGTGTTGTAAGGAGGGACCAGTCCTTGAAGAGGGACATCATGCTTGGTAGGGTGGGGGGACAGTGCAGGAGGGGAAGGCCCTTTATGAGGTGGATTGATTCAGTGACTGGGGTAATTGGGCTTGGGTATTGGTCCAAGGATAGGGTTTTCTTAAGCCTGATCAAGTGTTCTGGGATTCCCATTCATCTAGAGTTACACTTCTAGAATTTGCAGCTTTTTCTGATTTTTGTTTCCTTGAACACTAGAAGGTGGATAATGGTGAAATTGTGCTAGCGTCCTAGGACAGGATGAGCTAGGCTTCATCCCCTCACCACCATTCTGCATGATGTCATAGGTTCCCACTCTCCTCTCAGCTTTTGAGTTTGCTGAGAGTTCAACATCTTGAAGATTTTCATTCTGCTCATCTCACTACCCTGTCCATAGCCTGTAGCATAGGTTTTAGTCAGCAACCTGAGCCCTTGCTGGGCTGGAGAGAGAAGCCTGTGGGGACCACGGGGAGGACCTGCTCTGCCCTCAGATGTGTGTATACTAACCCTGACTTCCCACTTTCACCTGTTCTCCCTCTGTTCTCTGTCAGTGCTACCAGGCAGGGAGGATTTGCCTAACATATGACCTCTGTTGTGGATGCATTAGGAAAGCACTTAAACAATGTTGGCATTGCAAGCCTGGAACATATGACTGCCTCTCGTGTGTGTGCATAGCAGGAGCTGTGCCTCCATCCTCCAGGCAAAGAATCACCTTTCTAAGCATGTAGCGATCACATTTCTTCTCAACCTGATTTGACTGCATCCTGTCGGTGGACATATTTTGCCAAACACTAGGATCCTATAGATGTGACTCCTGTGGCAGACACCACATCTTTATTTTGTGGAATGGTGACTAACCCTGATTTTCCTTAGAGACAAGTGAGGCAGGGTAAACCCCTGTCATCTCAACACATTACAGGGAAACTATATTTCTCTCTTTTTTTCTATATGTTGGTTCCTCTGTGGAAGATCAGAGACACACGCAGGAATGTCACTTTCTGAAATATGCTAAGTAGTCAAAGAGGGTGGCCTAGTGTTTAAGGTGCTGCACTGAAACCTGAAGGCACATGGTTCAAATACACCTGATACTCTGAAGTAGAAAGATGGACAGTCAACTTTGATGCCATTAACTGCCTCTGAAAACACAGGAGTACCATCGATACTGTCAACCTAACCTAACACAAGCCATAAAAGCAGTAATCCATCCTACATTTTTAAAGAAACTTTATTCTTTGTGTTTCTCACTTCTCTCTTCACAAACCAGAACCTTCTTGGTCTCTAAACACTGGGACACCACAGTGTCCTGTTTTCCCTGCATTGTTATTCCCTAAGTTTTCTTACCAACTTCAACAAAGAGAACTCAGCCTTTAAGCTCACTTTCTAGAATTGGACCTTTTAAAAAAATACTATGCAGCAAGCATGAACAATGATTTTATAAATCACTTTCTAATTTGGGAGAGACTGGAGAGCATAATGCTAAGGGAACTAACCCAGTTCCGTAAGGATAAATACTGTATAAGACCATTGTTGTAAAAATAGATAACTATTAAAATGTGTATGAGTATCTAACGAAGGGGAGAGCATGGAAGCATGGGGGAGGTATGTGGGGGACATAATTATAACGTCACACAATTTGATGGATGGAGTGATGTGCCGGTTAATGAAATAGGAAAGATGCGGTGTGAAAAAGAATGTATATGAATTTTGTAAGTTAATAAAATAAAAAGTTTATATTAAAAAAATGCAAAGAACAGGAACTTTTCTTCCAAATTCTACCATGATTGAGTGTGTGTCCCAGGTATCCAAACCACCATTTGCGTTCTTTCCCTATTTGCCTCCTTGCCTACAGCCCTGACAGCTGAGGGTCAAACCCCTCTCTCATTTTAAAGCACCTTTTTCCTTGTGACTGAGAGGCAATGAAAAAAACAAGTAGCAGACCCTTACCAGGCTCCCAAGTTGTTGATAGGAACAACCAGGAGCAGTGATGGGAGAACCTCTATCTTACCTTTGATAGCTGTCACACTGCTACTGTAAATCATAAAAGCATGTCTTCAAAGATGGGGCACTATGGTATTCCTTTAAAAACTCTCCTCCAGATTGCAGACAGAGATATATGACATATATAGAGGTATGTGTCTCATCAATTAATGTTAATGTATTATTACCAAATATATATGTCACTAATTATATATATGCATGAATTTTAAATAGATACATACAATATAATGATATAGATTGATGCTGTGACTGGAATAGTGGATTCAAGTATGTAAAAAATGATGAGGACGGCTCAGATTTGTTCTTCATAGGGTTGCTATTTGTCATACTGGATTTGACTGCACCTAACAATGACAATATTTATATATTTGTATTTGTAAATAATTAGTTTTTCCTATGTGTGGACTAACAGTGCATTGATTTCCTTTTCTCCTCAATACTGTTGCCATGAAGTTCAAGGTCATCAGAAGCTGCCACGATTGAATTCCAGTATGACATTTCCCCTCGGCATATTGTCGATAAGGACCTTGTCTTCACTACCCTAATGCATTGCCCCATAGTCTCTAGTCTGGGAGGGGCTAGTTGGGATTGAATAGCAACACATATGGGTTGAAGTTTATTCCCTAATAGGAAGGACTGTATGGTTCCCTCCTAGCCCTACACCATAGAGGGTCAATACAGGGCAAGAAGTCACCACTTTGTTTAGAGATGTAATTGGGCTATGCTTTACCAAACCTGTGCATTAATAAAAAGGACACAATATCATGGTGAGAAAGGAACTCTTATACATTATTGGTGGGATTGTAAAATGATGCAACCATTCTGGAAGGCAGTTTGGCACTTCCTCAGAAAGTTGAACATAGAAATTTCATGTGATCCAGCTATTCCACTACTTGGAATATATCCTGAGAATATACTAACTGAGGCACAAACTGAGACATCTACACCAATGTTCATAGCAGCATTATTCACCATTGCAATAACATGGAAACAGTACAAACGTCCAACCACAAACAAATGGATTGAGAAATTATGGTACATTCACACAAGGGAATACTATGCAGCATGCAGCAGTAAAAACTTTGTAAATTATTAGCTAACTTGGGAGGGATTGGGGAGCATTATGCTGAGTGAACTAACTCAGTCACATAAATATTATGTAAAACTGTTATTGTAGAATGAGTATAAGAATCCAGGAGGAGTGGGAGAGGCTGGAAGCAGAGGGATGTGGATGTGCAAGGGGACGGGGGGTATTAATCATTGGGTTGTACAATTTGATAGGGGGGAGGTGAGAGAAATTGAAAGACTTTGTTCAAATTTGTATTTGAATTTTGTAAATAAACTAGTAGGGGAAAAATGAAACAATATCGTTAATAAAAATGAACATCACATCTGTGAACTATATGAAGGTCCATGTTTATTTAAAGAGGACCAAAGTCTCCATTTGGTCCCTCCTAGGCTGACACAAGCCTCTCCAAAGCGTTAGAGACCTTTTGGGGGCTTCGGGGTAGAAGTTGCCCGGGAGACAGTCGGTAGAGAGCCACTGAGATTGGTGTTGTAAGAAAAGAACAGAGTTCTGTAGCTGGTATTTGAGCTAATTTCCAGGACCTGGAAGTCCTCTGTAAAGGCTGGATTTTCATCCCTCCTCAGGGGAGATTGGGTACTGGGGTCCCCAGTTGCTTTTTCTGTCTTAGTTTTACCAAAAAGGCCTTTGGCTCGAGCCAGACTCTTCCAGAAGCAGCATAGTTTTCTTTTGGGTTTTTTCTCTCCTGATGAGGACACAGCTTCCTCATCTACTGTTTTGCATGAAATACAACTGAGAAAGAATTTCATTTTCCTTTTCTTTGCACGTTTGGAAGGTCTAGATTCCTTTAGAGTTTGATCTATTATCTCCTTTTCTTGGGACATATCACCATGAAGTATTTGGACAGCCAACTGCTTATCCTTAATTAGTGGATCCAACAAAGGTTGGGCATGTGAAGCCTGGGGCACTGTAGGCAGGGAAGCCCCAGGAATCTTTTCTTGTTTTGGAAATACATTCATGTTGGTTTGAATACTTTGAAAGTTCTCATCAGAGTTTATCCTCTCACAGATGGCTGGAGGGAGCTCAAGGACAGGATTGAGCTGGGGACTCTCTTGATGAGAGACAGTAAGACCAAAGTTATCACTATCTTCACAGGGGTCCTGGGATGATCTATCCAAAGGCTGCATTGGCGAACTCTGGTCTTTAGTATTGTTTGTGCTATTTCTGGTTGAAGGAAGCCCAAGCCCTTCTTCCCCTGCTCCACAGCCCTCCACTGGCCTGGGCTTCCTTGGGTCTTCTTTCTTTTTGGTTAGAAAGGTAACATGAACAAAACCCTTGCTCTTTCTATGGTTAAAGGACTCAGGGAACCATTGCTTCCCCAGGCTGGTGCGGTATACTCTGGTTTCCACCAGAGCAAAGACTGCCCGCTCCTCTGTGATGCTCTTACTGGTGCAGTGGGCAAAAGCAAGAGCTCTGGAACTGGCTCTCTGCTGACTCAGCAACACTGCCTTTAGATTGGTGATAAGCCGGGTTTCTAGGTGAATCGGTTTTGGATCTCTCTGTCTTATAATGACTTGTTTTGGGAATGAAATTGGCATAATTTTAGATCTATTCCCAAGGACCGCTTGAACATACGTGTTTTCAGGCATTTCTGTAGCTTCTTCCCTGGACTCTCTGCCTTTAATGGGAATCCCCCACCATGTCTCTAGGTTCTCTCCTTTTAGATGGAAATTTCCTTTTCTCAAGACAGATGTTTTGTATAAACCTAGAATGTCAATATCAATTTTATTTCCTAGAGGCACTACTCCCATATTTTTGTTCTCTGGAACCTTAACAGAGAATTCATTGAACTTTTTGAAGCTTCCAGGAATTCTTGAGTCCCTGGACATACATCTCTGAGCAAAGACAAGACTCAAGTGCATCTGCCAATGTTTGGAGATGATTTGGGCATTCCATAATGCTTGGGTCTGAGTGGGCAAGTGGGCCCTGAAGAATGACATTGAGGCCGAATTTGGGGAGAACAGGTCACTAAACCAACTGGTCTCTGGGCCTGTAACCTGGGAGATTCTAAGATTGCCAAAGACTGTGTTGATCCAGGACAGGGGTCGTTGGTCAGCATAGCATTGTACTGACTTCATGGATTTCAGGGGTAGGCCCCATTCATGGTGAATAAAATCCTTTTGGAGCTTGGACTCCACCAGCATCCAGACACTATAAAAGATGATTGCATGTTCCCTGAGGAGAAATGACGCTATCTTCCCTAGCCAGGGAGTATCCACAGTCTCGGGAGTTTGGACTGTGTTGCGTCCTTCATATACTGTGATACTCTGGTTGTACTGCCATCTCTGCAGAACAGTTAACATATTCCACCCAAGCTGCAGCTGCATCTGCAGCAGGTGCCGCTCCTTGGTTTCACATGCACCCAGCATAAGAAACTTGGCAATGACATTCATCTGTTGGTCCACATGGACAGAGATCCAGTTTGGGGTACATGGGGAAGAATATAGTGATGAGAAGAGTGTGCAATTTGGCAACAGGAAGAAATAATACACATTGCAGAGAGAAGGAATATTCAGCAAGGGCTGGGACATGGCCCTGTTCATGGAGAGAGCTTGAGAGCCTCTGCAGGTAGCAAGTAGGGTCTCATTGTACAGACAAAGGTGGCCACAGTTGAGTGGACTGTGGTTCTGGGTCTGATAGGCCTTCATGTTGTCAGCCTGTTTCCCAGGTCTTGTATAAAAGCTAAATAGGTATCTAAAAGACTCAAAGGGCAAAGTCAGAGCCAAATAATTTGAGATATTCTGGTAGCAACGGTTTTGTTCTGTGTCTACTATGGGCTGTTCAAAACTAGAGAAGACCAGAGCAGTCTGGCTGGTAATAATAAATGAACCCAAGGCATTGTGGTAAGTGGTCCCAGTTGTTTCAATACATATATTAAAAGTATCATTCATAAGGAATGAAATTAGCTGGCTATATCTAGAGTGAGCAAATGATAATAAGTCAGCCTTGTTGTGCTTCATGGACCCCATCAAGTGCCTGGGTTGCCCCCATCTCTGGAACTGTAGCCATTTTTTAACATGGGCCTCAAAAAGCTTGAGGACTTCAGAGTTGCCTTGTGGTAAGTAAGATTGGAAGACAGTAACTTTTTGAAAAGCCATAAAGTCAGTGTCATTGGCCAAAACAATGTTTAAGCACAGCAAAATTACATGAAATTTCAGGGGTCGTTCATCTTGACTACCTTGTACAAATATAAGATTTTTATATATGGTATCTTGCTGATGCTTGCCGAAACTTGATAAAGACAAAATTTCTGGGTTCGTGGACGTAGTTGGTAATTGAAGACCCTGCCCGAGCAGCAGGTGTTCAACCCAATAAAGTTGGATGCTGAACTTGTACTTCGATGGAACAGCCATCTGGCTTAAGGATTTTTCTTCTAGTAATTGTAACCTTGTGAAGGTTACTGATGCCAGAATGGGCTCTCTGAAATGTTTGGCACTCAGGAGCATACTCAGCTCAGGAAGACCAGATAAAGACAAAATCTCTAGGTAAGAGAAGTTCTGTGATGCTTCAGCTGAAGTGGAGACAATAGAGGTGCTTCTCTGAGACAGCAATTGCTGTGATTCTTCAGTTGAAGTGGACACAGCCAGGGTTCTTTGCCCTAACATCAACTGCTGAATCTCTAGAAGCATACCACTGGAGACTTGGCAACAGGGGGCTGCATACAGGAGCTGCTCCTGGGGAGGGCAGCATTGGCTGAAAGGGAAGCATGACAACAATTACTGATGCAGTGTCACCTCCGTGCTTAGATAAGTGTGGTCTGGTGGCTAGACACTGCTCTCCCCATAACATCCCCCTATGGATCTACCACATCACTTGTTAGGTTTGTTTGAGCAAAGGGTTTTGGTCTTGTGGGATAAAGGCTCAGGCACCTGATTGGTTGATTCTGGCACCAAGAGCAGACAAAGAGGTGGTGGAGTCAATTCTCTGGTGAACTGTGTTGAGAAACTGAACTAGAAGGGAGTCAGGCAAGACAGAATGTCAGGTGGTGAGGAGAATGCCATCAGCTATGAGCTGGAATAGTCTTATTTGGGGTTTTAATAGCAATGCCTGGTCCATACTGTGTATACCATCTGTTATCCTTATGGGAATACTACATCCCAAGAATGGGGATTGTCCTGTATATGTATAGCTCCAGAGGCTCCTATATACAGCATCTCTGCGGGACTAATTTTGTTGGCTTGAGATCTTTAGAAGAGAAATTGATATGTTTCTTTCTGAAGATTGTCTTAGTAAGTAAAACCTTTATGTTTCAAGGCCAAGCCAAATGCAAAGGTCTCAGACTTGAAAAGAGAGTAATTATAAAAGGACATGAAATAGTGACATATTTGTGCAATTCAGTCTATAGATTAAATTGTTTGCTGACTTTAGTACATGTAGAGTCTTATGTATTATATACTAGTATAAACTGAAATTCAGTAGTAAAGTGGTAGTAAAGTGACTGTAAAATCATTCTCTTTGTGGCTGTTCTACAACCTCTGCTCGGCCAATGCTGTCAACCACAGAACCAGGCTCGCCTATGTGTGGCTCCGTCCATCTTTGTTCCTCCCCAAAGTCGGAAACCATCCTAGGTCAGACCAGGATTTGGAGGCAGCAAAGAAAAGAAAGTAGTTACCTTTTCATGTCAGAGAGCCAGTCTCGCAGGTTCTCAGAATCGTCCTGGGAAGCTCTCCTAGCTGTGAAAGCAGGAGACCGTGTCATATACAGCAGAGAAGGTCAAAGGCATCTTGTAAGAAGTTGAGTGGTACAGTCTTTGACTCCCAGTAAAGGACTAATGACTCCCAAAGTCACGTTCAAGTTATATATGTTTGTGTGTAACTTAAACATTTCAGTGTAAGTGAGGTTGCATCATCTGATTTCTGCCCCCATTTCTGCCCATGGATCATAGGATTGTGACATAGAATGAATTCCATAGCATCATAAAAATAGGAAATAGCACAAGGGTTTCTGTCCTATTTCTTCATTTCTAGCAAGGCAGCATACAGAAATTTGCTATCAAGGGGCGTTTTGTGAGAAGTTGTTAATTTGGGAAGTTTAGCCTTCACTGGTGAAAGCTCCTCACTCCTACCACCAAAACTTAGGGAGAGTCAGTGTCCATGGGAACCTCACCTACGTTTAAGGGGAGCTGGAGGAGAGCCTGTGACTTTACCTCTTGATGTTGCACCTGTAGTAGCCTTTTCACTGACCCTTTGATGTTCCTTGAGGATGAAAAAAAATACAACATGAAGCTTTTACACAAAAACATTTTCCCATCTAAAATGAGACAAAACCTGTAAACATTTTTTCTAATCTTCTATTTTTATATTTTATACTTTTTCTTACATTACCTTTACCTAGTCTTCTCCTTCTCCCCGCTCCCCCCCAACATTTTCTTTCTCTGCTTATTTCTGACACATTTTATAGATTCTTCCAGATTTCATAACTTCTACCTCATTCTGAGAACAGGTCTGTGGGGTTCTTAGGTAGTCTAAACAGGAATTGCAGAACAGATTAAAAGGTATATGGACCCAAGTGGACAAAAGCTTTGGCTTACAAAGGCTTATGGAACTAGACAGAAAGTCTCTGAAGCTGAAAGGTCCACAAAGATGCCTCTCTGTGAGGACCATCCCATGTCAGGCAGAGAGACCCCTGGCTTGTCAATTAGAATAGAAGGCATGGACAACTGATAAGGAATTGGTTCTAGGTCTTAAAAACTATATGACTAAACCAGAATAACTGAAAGTTACATAGCAAATGTTCTTTTCTAGGACAGGGGAGAAGATGTGTAGAGAAACTGATGGTTTAAAAGCTTGTCTGAACTTAACATTTCACTGCTTTTCAAAATGTTTCCTTCCACGGCCACCACTTTTGCTAGATTCTAAACTTAATTCATGGCCTCTCTTTTTCAGTTGCTTTACAATTCATGTAATGCATAAGAAGAAACTGTGAGTATATAAAGGATAGCCAATCCCCTCAGAACGAATGTAAAGCACAGCCTAGGCTTAGTTTCATTAGTATTAGGAGAGCAATCATTGTTTTAATCTGACAAGGCTCTGATTTCTAAAATTTGTACAAAACTCCATCACCTGAAAAGTCAAACAACACAATTACAAAATGGGCAGAGGCCAAGAATCAGTACTTCATTGACAAAGACTTTCAGATGGCAAATAAACACAAGAAGAATCACTCAATACCAGTAGCTGTTGTTGTTGTTGTTAGGTGCAGTTGAGAGTGACAGTGTTCCTATGAACACAGACCTGAATCTTGTCCTGTCTTGTGCTATCCTCATTATCTCTGATGTACTTGAGAGATGGAGAAGAAAACAAGGAGACATCCCTTTACATCGGCAGAAATAGCAATAAATACGACATCAAATAATAAATGCTGACAAGGGTGTGGAGGGATAGGCACTTTCCTACACCGCTAGTGTCAATGTGATATGGTACAACCACTATAGAAAGCCGTGTGGTGAATAGAAATGTCTTGTTATCCAGCAGGTATGTACACTAGATAATGAGGAACTACAACACAAATGGTCAAACTCAAACTCCTGTTTACTGTTTTTACAATAGCTAAGTTAGAAATAACCCAGATATCCATCAGCGAGTGGATAAAGAATGGGGTACCTTCACACAGCGGAGTGCTATGTGTCAATAAAACACAATTGAGAATTTGAGAAGTACTGCACACCATGGATGAAACTAGAACATTCAGTTGAGCGATATACAGCAGTCAGAAACTTACACTATGGTATGAAAACCCTATTTTAAAAAGCTAATGAAAGTTATACAATGAATCAATCTTGAGGGAATAACAGGAATAAGAAGAGGAGAGGGCAAGGGGAGGAAAATGTATTCAATAGTTATGTTGGGAAAAGGGAAGGAAAATAGGAGATTAAAGATGTATTAATTATGTAATAATTAGTAATGAATATTAGAGGACAAAATGTGGATTAATTATCACTTGAAAAACCAATATAATCTATAAATGTTCAATTGATAAAAATAAGTGAAAGAATTCTTGCCTAAGACTTAACATTTCATTGGTGTTTCATGTTTTCTTACCTTGTAACCCTTCCTGTTGGGCTCCAGCTTCTTAAATACATGGCACCTTTTTTGAATTTGGTTTAAAATCAATGGATTGCAAGTGCTAAAGTCAAATACGGATATATAACAGGGATATCCAATTTCCCTGAGAATAAAATTAAGGCTCAACATGGTCTAAGTCTCATTGAAATGAGGAGACCAATAATCACTGTATCTATACGTCCAGAGAACTGGTACTAATGACTCCAGGAGTAAGGCTGGTGTCCAATGACTCCCAGCTGTAATCCGTGTCATCACTCTGTCACAATGATGTCGCTGCATCATGGTTCTGTGGCAGTTAGTGATTGGCTGGTGTGGGAGGGTTTAGTCTGTAGCTTAGGGCATCTGATTAACCCATAGGTTTTCCTCTCACCATCCCTAACTGTATAGCTTCATTCTCTGTGTTACAAAGGTCTGACCACCCCTCTCCAGAAATAGAATGTTTAAGCACTCTCAATTTCCGCCCCATTGTGGTTGAGCTTTGACTCACAGATGACCCTCCGCTGTGTTTTCAGAGACTCTAAATCACAGAAGAGGAAAATGGTCAACATTATCCCTCATAGCTGCGGATATTTTGATATTTTTGAATTTAGCTCTGGGTTGGCAGTATAACCCCCAATATCTAAGAAGATTTTTTTTTTTAAATTCCTGTTTAAGCATGTATTTTTGGCAGGTGCCACTGAGTACAAATCATAGCAATCATATGAAGAACAGATCTAAATCCTGTCCTGTGTCATCCTAACAATGTCTGACACACTTAAGCCCATTACTGATTCAGTCCACCTGATTGAGAAGTCTTCCTCTTTTTTCACTGTTCTTCCAGCTTCCCAAGCATGATGTCCCTAACAAGGCATATCCTCTCCTAGCAACATGGCAAAACATGTGACATGAAGGTTTATCATCTTTGCCCTCACAAAGCACTCTGGCTGCACCCTTTCCAAGACATATCTGTTCTTCTTTTGGAAGTCCATGGGATATTGAGAACTCTTCATCAATACTGCAGTTCAAAGGTATCAATTTTCTGTAATTTGTATTTATTGTCCAGCTCTCAGATGCACAGCATATGATTGAAATGACTAGGGCTTGAGTCAGGTAAATCTTGTTTTTGTTGTTGTCGCTATGTGCCGTCGAGTCGTTTGCGACTCATAGCGACGCTATGTACAACAGCCCTAAACCCTGCTCTATCCTGTGCCAATC